TTTATCATTTATCAGTTTTAACTGGTTTATCGATTTATCGATTCAAACCGATATATAACTGGTTCCAATTTTCATAATATGAATAAAACCAGTTTCTAAAATTAAAACCAGTTCCAACCTCTAGTCAGTAGAAAAGGGAAAATCCACTTTTCAGTTAAAAATTTTTTTATTGATTTACTCTACTGATCATGATCATGTAAACAAAACTAGTTTAATAATCAAAATTACTTAAAATTTGTAGATTTCTCTCTTTTCTATTGACTGCCTCCTATATAGGACCTGCTGTAAATAGTAATAAAATGATGTGTTGCGAGTACATTTCTACAATTCTTCATATTGCTGTCAGTATTCTCAAAGGTTTAGTTATTCTACCTCAAATAGAAGTTTCCAGTAATGAGAATTCTGGCTGTGTCAATTATGCTATCAAAAGAATTATAGACAACTTATTGGAAGAAATAATATACATCATGAAGAGTAAATAGAATCTGCTTAGAATAGGTGTTGCTCAAAATCTCATTCAATGTAAAAGTTTATATAAAGTAAGAACCGTAATATGTCTAACCTCCATTCAACTATTAGAATCTATTAATTAATCATCAACTGTAAATATAGATAAACCTAAATATGCTCAAAAAATGTAAGACTGATAAAGCATTTGAGAAGTATGAATATGTTTATAATATCGATATAATAGGTGAGAAATGAATCTAAAGAATCTTATTTTCTCTTTTGCATTACTAACTTGTTTTGTATTTTTTAGCTATGAACTGGTATTTCATTCTACATAGCACTGAGGCTATCTATTATACGAATAAGACTGAGTATCGCATTTCTCTGACTAAAGATACATTCAAAAACTCAACTAAATTACATAAAAACATTAAAAGGATTTTAAAGGTTATAATAGGCTTGTTAAAAGATAAAGTAATAGCTAGTAAAGAACCTGTAAATAAGAAGTGCTGTGTAGAAGAAATAATCAAGAAGAAAAAATTGTATAGGACACTATAGCATAGAAAATTTATTATGTATCATTTCGAAATAGCTATGTTTTGAATCTTTGTATTTATTTTTCACATGAATTAATAAAATTTTCTTGGCAATTTTCTGGGACATAATGTTTCAGAAATTTCTTGACAAAACTGATTGGTGTAAAGAATTTTGTATTTTTTATGTATGATTTATCAGAAAACTCAGCGTAATATAGGTAAAACTTTCATTTTATTGGTAGGATGATGCTTTCTTTGAATATGATTAGACGTGTATTCTTAAGAAAACAATCCTATTCTAATATTTTCATTAATAATAAAATTTATTTGTAAAAAAAATAAAGTTTCACTTTGAATTATGCTTTATTAATAGAATATTTCTGCAATTATAAAATCAAGCATTTTTTAATTCTTTACATATTAAAAAATATATATATAGTGCAAGAAATCTATACTTAACAATATAAATGTAACCCTTAAAAATCTTTTAACTCTTTAAAAAAAATAAAATTTAAAAAAAATAAATTGGTAACTTTATTCTTTAAGATAAGCTCTATTAAATTACCAATCAGTTTTTCAAAATAAGTTTTATATAAAAAGTTATAGGTATTTAAAATTAGATAATTTTTATATGATCTTTTTGAATTTGAAACATATATTATTAATTGAAATTTATGATAATTCAAGCTAGCATTATGGTAATTAATCATAATGTTAGCCTGAATTACCGTATTCTTCCGAAAGTAAGCACTTTCTGAAAATAAATACCCCAGTTATATATAGGACCCGTAAATAAGCACCCTCTTACAATCAAGCTTTTTATAATCGCACAATTATAATTTTATTAATTTTTATAGCAAATAAAATGTTTATATTAATGAAAACTAAAGTATTAATGTATTATGTA